ACCTCCTTGATGTGCTTGATAGAAAGAAGCATGGCGACCTCCTTCTTCACAAATTCCCTCCTCTCGGCCGAGAGGGGTCTCCTCTGCTGTTGTACTGGTTTGGCCGAAGGGTCCACCGAGAGGCGGTGGGTGATGAGCCTTCGGCCGATCCCCGACATGTCCTCCGGCCCCCATGCAAAAACAATGGAGTAGGTGCGGAGGGCGCTGATGATGCCGGTCTTCAAATCTTCGGGGAGCTTGGCTCCAATCTTCACGACTCTCTCCGGCTTGGCCGGATCGAGTGCGAAGTCTTCTACCTCCTCGGCTGGTTCAGCCCTCGGCCTCATTTCTTCTGCTTCCACAGTTCCGGTGATGGTGTCAACGCGGAACTCCGTCTTGCTAACCTTCTTCGTAACTTGAAGGTAGCAAGCGCGGGCAAGTTTTTGGTTCCCCCTTGAGTAACCGATTCCCCCCTCGGCTGGGAACTTGAGGCAGAGGTGCCTCATGGAGATGACGGCTTCGAGGTCCTCGAGGGCTGGCCGGCCGAGGATGATGTTGTGGGCGCAGTCGATGTTGATGAAGACGAACTCCACTTCGAGCTTGGCTCTATGGAGGCCGTCGCCGAAGATGACCGGGAGGGTTATGACCCCCTCGGAATCAATGGTGTCGCCGGTAAAACCGGCAAGAGGGGTCTTGATGGGCCGAAGGGACCCCCTCTCCAGATGCAGCTCTCTGAAGGTGCTGAGGTACATTACATTGACGGAGCTGCCCGTGTCAATGTAAGTTCTGTGGATAATGGTGTCGTTGATCTCTGTGCGGATGACGAGGGCATCCCTGTGGGGGAGGATACTGGGGGGAGATCAACGTTGGTGAAGATAATGGGTTCCTCCCTCAGCCGCTTTACCAGGGGCATATGAGTGACTTCCCCCACGTAAAGTGATTGAGCCCACTTCTTTCGTTGACTTGTGGAGTCACCCCCGGTATTTCCCCCCGTAATCATGAGGATGTGGCGTTTCTTTTCTTGATACCGGGGGTACTCCTCCTCCTCTTCCTCCAGATTTCCAATCTCCCTCTTCTTGCCGAGGGGGGTAGTGTTGGGGTTGACCCATGCATTCCCTCTCGCAGTTTGCCCTCGGGGTGGCCCCTGATGAGGGGGGGCCTGTTGCTGATGGCCCTGGACAAACTGGGACAGATGGCCCGCCTGTATCAATTTCTCGATAGCCGTCTTCAGCTGATGGCAATCATCGGTCCTGTGCCCCTGGTGTCGGTGGAAACGACAGTAGGGGTAGTTTGGATTGATGGCATATACTTCCGAGGGCACGCGTGAATCTCGCTCCACGAGGCCCCTTTCTTCAGCAAAATCAAGAATAACGCTGACGGGATGCGTCAATGGTGTCCGAGGGTGCTCCAGGAGGACAGGCTGTGTCCAAGCCCTCGGGTTCCCCTTGAAACCTCCCCCGGGCTTGGCTTGGCCGTGCCGGGGGCGATCACCGGAGGGGGCAGGATCCCTGGGATGATTGCGGGGAGCCCCCGGCCCTCGGTTACCTTTGTCTTCTGGCCGAGGGCGTTGCTGGTCTGGGACATGGTGGCATTTCTCCACCTCCTCGGCCTCGGCGTACCGGTCCCCCCGCTGTAGGGCCCTTATATAATCGCGGGGTGGGGGGGGTTCGATGATGAGGCTTCTGGAGAAGTTCCCGGGGCGGAGTACTGTTTGGAGGAGGGCCAGGAGGGTCCCGTCGTCAGCGCCATCAACTTTATCAGCCTCCGTCCTCCAGCGTTCCAGGAAGTCCCGAAGGGTCTCCTCCTTCTTCTGCCTCACTGTTAGTAGGTGGGAGAAGTGTTTCCTTGTGCGGCGCCTCCCCGCAAATTGCGTCAAGAATCGCTGGGCGAGTTCTTGCCATGAGTCAATACAGCCCTCGGGCAATCGGTTGAACCATTCGTAAGCTGGCCCCTCTAGGGTGGAGAGGAACCAGCGGCACAAATATTCATCTGATGCCCCACCATCATCATGCTATTTTGATACCTGTTGTAGTGCTCTTGGGGGTCAGTCTTTCCGTCATAGGGCTTGATGAGCTGCCATCGGTATTTCTCCGGGTCCGGAGCTGTATGGTGGGTTCCCCGGAGCCCTCGGCTATCTTCTTCTGCATTTCTTCCATCTTCGCCATCATCGCCTCATACTTGAGGTCTGTATGAGGGGCGGAAGTGGTGGCGTGGACTTTGGTGGCCTCCATCTCGTCAAGCCGGCGCTGGAGGGCCGCAATGATTTCGTCCCGGGGGTCCTTCTGGAGGGCCTCCGCCCCCTGCGAATGGACCCGGGCCGAGTGGGCTTGATTGATTTGATGGCGTGCGTCGTCGGCATGGAGGGGTGCCTTGCCCTTGTCCTGAGGGGGACGTCTTTCATTGGCCTTGGAAACGGACCTGCCACTTTCCTGAGGCCTTTGGAACGCCCTCCCCCCGAGGCGGTCTTGGACCCCTCGGCGGTCTTGCGCCCCTCCGAGCCTCTCGAGGGCGGAGATCCGGGGGTGCTCCTTGTTCACGTCGTGGCGGTCCCGGGACTGGACTTCCTGGGAGGCCGTATCTTGGGCCACGACCCCCTCGGAGTTCCCCATCCAGAGGACCGGGTTACCGAGGGGTCGTGGATGAGGGGGAGGCAGAATATTCTCCCCAACCTGAGGCTGGTGGGGAACCAAAGTGCCGAAGGCACCCGGGTTCTGAGTGAGCGTCTGGATGAAGGCGGAGAGCGCCGATTGAACGTCGATGGTGATGACCGGAGGGCTAATTTGATTTTCGCTCCGGTCCTTTTTCTTGGCCTCGATGCCGAGGCGGGCATCGGGGGCATTTTGCTGAATCTGCTGGCGCAGGTCGACAGCCGTCTGGTCCAACCCGGCGATGACGCCGCCCCCGAGAGCCCTGTTGGAGGCTTCGGGGACGTCGACCTCGCCGAGGGCCAGGTTTCTGTCCTCTGCATTCTTGGAGTTGGCACGAGTCGTTCTCAGCATTTTAGATGGGTGTTTTTGTGTTTGGTCGAGGGGGAGGGTTTCTTACTTGATTGTTCGACCTCTCAACGAGAGCACCAAATGATGGATAGTGTACCCGGGGGGTTATTGCGGGGAATAACAAGAGAGAAGTCAGAGCAAGTAAGTATATAGAGAGAAAGTGTATTTAGAAAGTATGCAGCGTTTATGACTTGGTTACAAATGGGGAAATGAGGTGCTATTTATAGTAGCAATAAATGCCGGACAGGGACACGTGTCAAGCGTCCATTGGCCGAGAGGTCACCTCAACCGGTTGGCGTTGGCAACCGCATGTGGCCGCATTTAATGCGACTGTTGGATGGGACGTTGTACAGGGTACGGTGATCTGTACGCATGTGGCGCGGATATCATGTCGGGAAAGGTGCCCTCAGCTGTAGAGGACTAGTCGAGGGCTCTGAGTACCGGGGACCCCCTTGGTGCCGAGGGCTCCAGGTGCCGAGGGCTACTGTTTTTCACCGTTTTCCCCAGTAACTTTGTTTTGCTGTCTTGGCCCTCCTGTGAGAGTTAGAGCCTTCGGCCAGGGGGCCGAAGGCACCCCTGGTGTGCATTTGTGGGCTGCTTGGTATCTTGGGCGCCGTGATTTGGGCCTGTTGTGCTTTCTGGGCCTGTTGGGCCTTTATTGGAGCAGTAGGAGTCTGTGGGCCGGGGGTTCCCGGGCCATATACTCCATCAGGTGAATATCACCCATTTTGGTATAATATTTGGTATATCTCTTAATTCTTAGTTCTAGAAAACTAATGTTTGATACTAGATTTATTATGATTTGCAAGATATTGAAATTTAATATTTATGGTTTAATTAAGTGAAACACTTGTACATACACTTGAGTCTATTGCTATAACTAATATGTTGATATTTTAAATCGTAATTTACATTTTGGTTGTTGTTGCAAGACAATGATATTTTTTTGATACACTCCGTATTATATGTTATGTATGTTTGTTATCACATAATTTTTATATTAAACAAATATGTATTAATATAAACTATACTTTAAACAACATAACAGAAATCATGAAACTTTAGAGCATAAATATCTTTATCTAAAAAGAAAGTAGAATAAGGTATTTACTAATAAAATTTTAACTTGCGAATACAGTATTTATAATTCACAAATAAACTGAGGCGTTTAATTATTTTAGAAAATGTTTAAATTGGTATACACGTACTCTCTAATTCATTGCTCAAAAGTGCACTTGTTTCTTCTATTTTTTAATTATGTATGTTTTTGTATTGTATTACTATTAATAATAGTTTGATGTAGTTATTTTTTTTGTTTTGCTTTCCAATTACTATTTTTCTAATCAACAAAAATATTTTGGTGAAAACTGATAAAACCGAAATTGAACCGAACAAACCGTGCTTCCAAATTTTTGAACATAAAAATGAATCGAACTTTTTAGTTTGGTTCGGTATTTGGTTTTAGGTGAAAACCGAACTGTTTGCATTGAAGCCACCTATAGTCATCATGAATTTGAAAATGTTACTCGTGCAATTATTGTCAATCTTTCATGTATGTGTAGAACTGTTCTTTCTTAATATACAATGTATGTTTTAGAAATCTCAAACAACACTCATTATTAAAAATAGAGAGTACAGTAGATTGATTTATTTTGGCGATTACCAAAGATAGATTACTTCCTTCTCTTGAATTGCATCAAAAAAAGAAAGACCAGAAGAAAAGAGATTGCGGGAATTTGGAAATCAAGAGTAAAATACCACTTCACCCTCGCTTCGGAGGCTATTTTAAGGTAAAACACCATCAATTGCAATTTAAAAAAGTGGGACGGGTCATGCAAAATTACGGCAGCGCCCCTGGTACGCAGTCTGTTTTAGGTAAATCCATTAATGCCAAATGTTTGAGGAAATACCCAAGAGAGAAGAAAAGAGTGAAAATAGCAAAAGGCGGGGCCCGAAAAAGGACCAATGGAGGTGGGGGAAGTCAAGCTAAATGTGGCAAAAACAGAGTCATGCAGCGCTTAGGAGAGGATGATGGAATGGCGAAATCCCATGCAAGCTTGCCGTTTCCAGACTCTCGCCATTTGGGGACTCTCCAACTTCTCTCTCTCTTATCTCTCTCTATCCCTTTTCCATACCCTCCTCTATATTTAGCAACATTTTTCCTCCCTCCTTGTCCTCGTCTTTTCATATTCCCTATATAATAACACCGCCAAGCCACCGTCTCCGCCCCTCCACCGCAACTCCTCCTTCACCGCCACCGCCCGGTCTAAAACCTTGTATCTGTACATAGATAAAGAAAGAAAGAAACATAGAGAGGGGGAGGGCGTGATTTGGTATCTGTACATAGAATAGGAGATTTGGAGCTGTGGGTCTGTTTGCTTTTTTGATTTAACATCCAGAAAAACATGGGCAGGGGAAAGATTGATATAAAATTAATAGAGAATGTGAATAATAGGCAGGTGACGTTTTCTAAGAGACGGGCTGGTCTCCTCAAGAAGGCTCAGGAGCTCTCCATTCTCTGTGATGCAGAGGTTGCTGTTATCATCTTCTCCAGTACAGATAAACTTTTTGAGTACTCCAGCACAAGGTATACCTCGAGATTGATTTATATCAGTAAATTATTTATGACTGATAGTGACTGCATGTGGCCGAGATTGATTTCTATTTGGACAAAGGCTAATTTCTGGAGTTCTGATTGTGGTTCTTTGTGGCATTCTTGACAATGACTTCTATTTGGACAAAAAGTTAATCATCTTGAAGGGATTTCGGAGGGATGTGCCTGATTTATGGAATATTAAGTCTGGTTGTTTGTCTTTGGTAGAAAAATTGATTCTTTTGCTTCTCAAATCCAAAAAGTTCTGTTTTTTTTGCCTTTTCCTGTTCTTGAGGTTTCTTGACTGTCAGTTTTCTTGTAGTAATAATAAGCTTTTGGATCAAGTCTCATAAAAATGCAGAGGTTCGAACTAACTTGTGTAGCTATAATGAGCTTTAGGTCACTGTTCATGAACATCCTCTGGTTTTTCCTCAGAGATCACTTTTGAGTTTCGACCAACCATGTCTTAGTATATTAGCTCAATGTTAGTGAAGTATTGGGTGAATTTAGGTAAAGTTTTTACCGTGTCATTATCTTTGTTTCCTGTATGAGATCTTCTCACTATTTTACTTTTTATGGTTTGCATTGCCTCTTCCTTTTTATTGCATCGAGGTCAATTTTTTCTATTCTACATGGTTTTGAATATTGTGCATGCTCTATAATTTGGAGACTTTATTTGATGCCTTTATAGTTTATAGTGCACCATGATCATATTGCAGAATACCTTTTTTAAAATTTACGACTGGCTTGACTTGGGAGCACAAGTTTTGCTTTTCTCAAAAAGACATCTCAAGTCTTAACAATGGAACAAAATTAAACTTATCCTTAATTGCTGTTACCAACTTACCTTTATACGTGACATCTCATAATGTGAGTCATTAGTGATGTCATGAGTGGCAAAATGTAAATCTAGAAGCACTTTTTAATTCCTGCAATTTCACAATCTCCCATTGATTCTTTTGAACAAATCAATGATGTCCATTGTCCACTGTCATGAGTTATAAATATGTTTTTTAACTAATGAATTCTAAGTTAATTATTTTATTTATACGTAATGCTTGGCATCTCTATATGCAGCATGGCGCATACGCTGTCAAGGTACAAGAAATGTGTGGCTTCTAAAGAGACAACTGTTGCTGTAGAGAAGAAGCCAACGGTGAAAGATTTGTCCTTTTCTAAAGAGACTAATGTTATCAACAACCCATGCTTTCTTTTACACAGATCGGATCAGTGTAGTTTACTCAGTTGCATCCTAGTATATGCAAAAGATTTTAGGAAAAAGATGTCATGAACATTGAATAGGCAATCCTATGAACAAATTTGGTCATTTTCATGTTTTTTACACTTTACAGTTTATAGTGTCATGGAGTCAGTGTATAATGTGACAAACTGGCAAACTTTATAAGTAGTAGTTTATAGTGCACTAGTTTGCCACATTATACACTGACTCTATGACATTATCTTTTTACACTTGCATCATTGAATAAACAATTCTATGAACAAATTTAAGGGTATTATACTATTTTCGTAGGGCGTGGAAATAATGTGACTATGTGAGTAAACCATGATGTCCCGTGTCCCTCTAACGGAGGGACATAATGAATTTATATTCAACTTGCAAGGAATTCTTCTTTGACTTTATCAGCACTTCTATTGTTATCTTTTTTATTTTCTAGGTAATAAGCATAAAGTGTTTCTACAAATTCCATGGGATGTGCATATATCTTTACCCTCTACTGTTTTACTTGTTAATTTTTCCTTGATGTAGGATAAGATTACCAAGGTAAGTGGTAATCTTTTTCTCCCCACTTTGTTGGACCACTATTTGAGTTTCAGATTCTAAAAATGAGCAGGTAGAGCGCAGGGAAGTGGTAGCTTTGAACAATGAAATCTCAGAGCTTAAATCAAGGCAGTTGTATGTCTTCTTTTAGTCATCTAATTATGATGCCTTGATCTTTTTTTTAACCGAAAGCACTTGAATTAATTAGTATCAGTGAACTTGGATGTAATATTAGGCAGTTGTTGGGTAAGGATCTTACTGGCATGGGCTTGCACGAATTAAGGCAGCTTGAGCATAAACTAGATGCAGCACTCTTAGCTATAAAGGGAAGAAAGGTATCAAATTATCTGTCTTCAATTGTGACATTATTTTGTTTCATTGAGCTATTCTATAAGGGTATGTTGGATCCTGGGTGATGCTAGGGAAAAGAAAAAATGGAAAGTCATTTTCTTGTTTTTAGTTTGACCTTGGGAGAAATATAATGAAGAATGATATACTTTTTTTAAATAACACATATTTGGATTCCGTAGTGTTCATACACATAAATATATGAAATTGAGTATCATCAAACCTAAATAATACAGAGTAAATTTATTATTTTTAGCCTATAACCCTATCTAATGTTAAGTTTCCATCAATTGCAATCGAACTGAAGATTCACTATTTTTGGCTTGGGAATATGATGGAATAAAGCAAAATGACTCACTAAACTATCTGCGTTTCTTTGCTATGAAGCAGTAGTAAGTCCATGCAATTTTCGACGCGATTTCACTTTGGGTCATTCGGAAACAGTCTCTCCATGTTTTAATACATGGGTAAGACTGCATACATCTGACCCCCTTACCCCACCGTAGTTGGGAGCCTTGCGGTACTGGGGTAATGATGATGATGAACCCTATCTAATGTTATCCCCAAATTTTATTTCCTTTTCATTTTCTTCTCTATTTTCCTTCCTAGTTCTTTCCCTAGAATTTCCCGGTTCCAAAGGTAATAGGTATTTAGAAACTTTTCTTCGCGAATTTTATAGGGAGTAAATATGGTAATGGTACATTGTTTCAGGAACAATTACTGCTGGAACAACTAGAACACTCGAGAAAACAGGTAACACTGGTTAAGTAAATATATGTAGTGAATAGATTAGTACAATGGTATATACTGATCAGAATCCACTATTAACACATAGAAACACAGTGGCCATGTTTTATGTTGGATACCCTTCTCTTTGAAGGGATGGTGAGGTAAAGTTTCAGCACTGATCTAAAGGACTTGCTTGGTAGTGAGTTCTAGCTTATTCTGCATATGTTGCTCATTAACTGAATTTATACAATAAGTAGGTAGGTTTTGACCTACTTATTTGGTTGAAATGATTGTATTAATTAAAAAAATCCTTTCGGAAAATTCATTTGATTAAACCATGTCAGCCAAATAACCCATCATTCTGATTGGTTCTATGCTGGGATGTATACTCTTGCATGACCTTTAAGAGTAGTACATTGACCAAGTAACCAAATTTTACCTTTTTTAAGTTTCAACTATGGACTACAAGATATAGACACATAGAGTGGTTATATTAGTACAATGGTTTATACTAATCTGGATATACTATACCGTCTATACTTTGGTACTTCCATATCAGGTTTATTAAATGCAGGCATGATATTGTGACCTTAAACTGTGATGAATGAGCTTAAACAGTCATTAATGATCTCAACCAGTAATTAATGCAACAATACCATGTCGACATCATTTATGTCCTATTCATGACTTCTTGATTGTGTTAACGTAATTTGTTGTATATTGATATCCAGGAGGAGCTGGCTCAGCAGGAGAATGAGATTTTGCGCAGAGAGGCAAAACATTAGTATTTATATTCTAATTATCTAATTTTGATGAGATAAGTTGGTTTCTTAACCGACTTTTTCTTATTTTCTTGCATGTATGATGAAACACACCTATAGATAGAAGAGTTAAGAGGATTATACCCATCAGCTTTGAGTGCAGTAACCCCCCCTACTTTTTATCTTGAATATCATCCTACTGCACAAAGAACTTGTTCATCTAGCAAAGATGGCGCTGAGAGTCAAACAGCATGTGATGGTGATTTGGTGGAGGAGGTTTCCGATACTACCTTACAGTTGGCGTAAGATTTTTTGCTTAAACTCAATAAATTTCTTTTAGATACTTGTTCATACTCCTTTTATTTATTTATTTATTTATTTATTTATTTATTTATTTATTATTATTATTAGCTTTGCTAAGTATTTTCCAAGGACAATATGTTCCACCCCAAAAAGTAAACATGACTAGAGGAGTAACTCGAGATCTTATAAGTTGTTTTTTATTCTTGTGGGAAATTGGTTTGAAATGACCTAACAGGTCAAATATAAGAAAACAATTTCTTGTAATGTATTTTCTGTTCTGTTTCATTTTTGCGTAACCAAATAGATCCATGTTCCAACTGTTTGATCAATTACCTTGCATATTTAGTATATCTAATTCATACCTCACTATGGGATGTTAAACACACGGTAATAATAATCAAATTTTTGGAACAAATGATGAACTTATGTTCACGCGAGCATGTTGTTAGAAACCACATAGCACCCTATTCCCCTGAGGTTGACCTATCTGAGTTTTGAAAATGATGAAGAAAACCTAAAATCCGTGATTGATCAAATTTTCCATGAAGGATCTTTTCAAATTTGAAAATTAAAGAATATATAGTCACATTGATAGGAAATGTGCATATTGAATTTGGTGCTTCTAAATCCACTTTTATTTTTTAAAACAGCTTCTCTGCCTAAAAAAGATGAGGTCAAATACTACAAATAATATTATTTATGTTCCCTATCATCCTTTAGTTGTTGTGACTTGTGAGCATGAAATATATAGATCAAGGATTGTAGCTGTAAGATGGTCATTTGTTTATTTGATCAAATCTCAGATAGACATTGGATGATATTAACTATGTAACCTTGTCTGTTATAGCCCATCAGGCCTCAGTTCATTACTTCACTGACAGAGTGTATTCAATATTTTGGCCATTGTAGTAACTTTGTATTATTGGTTACGATTTCATTGCTTCACAGACCTCCAGATGGTTCTGGTAGAAAGAGGAAGACGCCTGAACTGGAAACTCGTTCCTGCAATTCTGAGAACAATCCGCTCAAGTGACAATATGGCTAAATGTTGATGCCCTTTTTTAAATTATAAGAACATGGGGGTCGGGCAGACAAACATTATTCAACGGTCGGGCAGACAAACCGTTATAGATTAGCAGTCAAAGCCCACCAGTGTTCTAACTTATATTAAAATGGACTAGACTAGACCGCCTTTAGGGTTAATATCTCTTTACTATAAGTATACCTTTATTTATTTTGGTTTTTGAGTGACCCTTGAGATTACAGATTTCTTATTAAATCCAATAGTACAAGTTGTGGTCTTATGGTCGTCATATTTCTCTCAACCTTTCATCTTGGAAATTGACGCTTCATCTCAGGGGCAGGGTGTGGTACACATGCTAGAGGAACACCCACTTGCTTTTTTAGTACAAGTAATAAAATAAGCCCTTACTTACAACTTACAACAAGCTTCCTCACTATAATAGTACCAATTTGTTGTTGAAAGAGAGGCTCAACAAACAGGTGGCAGATGCTCTTTGATGATACGAGGAACTCGATTCTCCAGCCGAGGAACCACCTTCCCAGTTCATGGCTTTGTGAGCCCCTTAGCTTCCAACACTGTTGGATAAAATCATAGCCATGCATACACAAATTCAATCAAGCGCCATTTTTTCCAACATCCTCATCCAATGATGGAACTCAGTTTTTGAAATTTAATTCTATAATAGTGCCACAATTCACCACCACCCCTTATACAAGCTCTTATATGAGTTACATTCAACAACGATGACGGGACTCGCAGACAAACTTTGATGGGGTTATATGCTACTTTTTACCGGGCCAATTTTCGGGTCCTACTCGCAGGGGTTACTTTCAAACCCGTCGAGAGATGCTTCCAGATTTGGGGTCCTACTCCAGGAGGTAAAGGAGATAGCTTAGTTAAAAGGGAAAGCAACCGAGTAGCGCCTAGCGTTTCGGAAGGGGGATTCTTACTGCTTGATTCATCGTCTCAGCTTAATATGTTTCTTATAAACGATTGTAATCCTGAGTTTTTCTATCAATAATACACCTCTTTCCCCGCAAAAAAAAAAGTGCGGAACACTTCATTTTTTTGTATGCAATTGATTAAACCACCATACATTCCACATCCCCTGGTAGGCAGGTCCTTTGCAAACTCCAAAGGTATTGAGTAATCGATCACTGTGGCTGTCGATCGGTTGGTAAGATAAATGAACAATGGGTGTCTATAGTCATTGTTTGCTTCATCAAATCAATTCATGATTAGTGGTGGACTCGGTTCGGGCCGGGCTCGGTTCGGGCCTAGAACCGGCCGGGCCTCAGTTCTAGGATGGCAGGCCCGGAACCGGCCCGGATAACCCCGGGTCCGGTTCGGTTCGGGTCACCCGCCCGGTTCACGGGCCGGGCCGCCCGGCGGGCCGGGCCGGGCCTATTTAATTTTTTTTAAATATTATATAATTAGAATAATTCTTATTACAATTACAATATATTATATTCGAATTGAAGTATATTTATTTCAAATAACAAGTACAATTGAGAATTAGGATGAATTTATAAAATGTACTCCCTCCGTCCCTCTGTTATTGTCCCATTGCGGTTTACGATGCTTGACCGACGATAAAGCAAACAGATCCCTGTCCGCACTCAAATTATTTTTAGAAAAAGAAAATTACATATTCAGAAACTACATTAAAAGATTTACAAAGTCGCAAAAACCAGAATCAAATTTGATAAAAATTTGATACATAAAGTAAGTGATTAAGAGTGATTTGTGTTGACCAAGTGAATAGGAAATGAGACAATAACAGAGGGACGGAGGGAGTAATACATTTTGTAAATATATAATGTGTAAATATATTATAAGTAATATATAATATAATGTATAACAATATATAGTATATAATATAATGCGTAAAGAATTATAATATGAATGTGTATAAGTATATATTTATAAGTAGATAATTAATATTATAATATATAAGTAGATATAATAATTATATAAATTATATATATGTAGAAAGAATTTGGAGAAGATGAAGAATGAAGATGATTGAATATGAGAGATTGAGAGAATAGAGAATTTAGAGAGTAGGAAGAGTTGTAGAAGAAGGTGTAAAAAATGTATAGAAAATATGAGTATAAATAGGTTTTTTTTTGTATACCCCACCCCCACCCCCCCTAACCCCCCAGACCCCCCCTCCTATGCTCCCAACGGCTATAGAGCCGTTTGGGAGGTCTCCCAACGGCTAGTAGAGCCTTCAAATATTTAATTTTTTTTTTTGTGACCGTTGAGGCCCGGCCGGGCCGGTTCATCAAAATATCAGCCCGGGCCCGAACCGCTACATGACCGGGCCGGGTGGCCCGAACCGTGACCTAACCGACAAACCGGGCCGGTCCGGGCCCGCACAGTAGCGGGCCGGTCCGGTTCCGGGCCGGTTGGCCCGGCCCGAGTCCACTCCTATTCATGATGTTCATTGCTTAAATTACATAGCCCTCCATCCTCCATTATCACCGACCGCAATACAATATTCTTGATCAATTATCGGTTGCTTAAGTGGAACAATGCTTCACCATAGCAATTGTCACCCATAAATGGATTACTAAGTCGGAGTTGTGAATTGAGTAGTAGAACAATACTTATGCAACCTTACACTTGCTTGGCCGTTTCATGGGAAAAAAGAGGAACTACATATGTTAGCTAGGTTGGGTGCGGTTTCAACACTCACTTACTTCAAGAAAACGCCATTTCGAGGCATATATCAGCGCTCCCATCATGTAACCCCAAGTTTACAAAAGCACATATAGTGTACGAGTTGATTAAAGATTCCCATCGCCGCCTACCCAAAATTGAGAGACACAATTAATGTGGGTGATTTGGTGCTTAAGGATTGCCTGATTGCCATCATAATTTTTTTTGGGGGCCAAATTTATTTCTAATAGTAATTTTTTTAAAAAATAATAAATGTGGGGTATATATGTGCTTCTAACAACAACACATTTTTTTAATAATACATTGATGAGCGAGATAAGCTTAATTAAGACCCAAAGCCGGTGAATGTTTTTGTATGTAACCAGACCCACATTTGAACGGTGAACCTTAGCTTCTTGATCCTTAGCTTTATGTATGTACGTAATTTTCTTTATTTTGTATTCCTATGTCCTAACAACGAATAAAGGCGGATATCTGATCACCTATTCTTGCCCATCCAAAAACGAAAAACCACATATAAATCAAAACATATAATGTATTTTTAACCTTCTAAAATCATTTGTCCATACAAACTCATCAAAACCAAACAAAATCACTGGCTTGCAGAGGTAGGGAAACTGTAGTGGTATTGGTCCACCTCACTGGGTCATCCCTGAGTTGCCTTTGGTCCACCTCATTTAGGGAGCTGGTCTCCTATTTATTGCCCTGGCCCAATTGGGCTGTCTACCCGACCAAGCCCATTCCCTTATCCCTTGTCTTATATGTAACACCCCTCTCAGGGTTATAGGAAACGTTACATAAACTTACTACTTTAAAAAAAACTGCAATATAACGGCCGTTTGTTTACTAAATAACCCTGATAAAATATCAAACATAACAAAAATATAGCTCCAAATAAAAACTCAATAAAATCTAGTTATCACCAGCAAAATGTGATAACCACCTGGATCCAGGAATTCACTAAAACTTCAAATCCTCAAATAAAATGAAGTAACAGTAATCAGTTTATTATAACGTCTGAAATACTTAAATAAAATAATAACTAGCTAGAAGTCGCCAAGGTCGTTCCCGTTAACTCATCTTGGCACGCGTTCCACTCCCTCATCATCTTCCTAGGCCTTGGCCTTACCTTTAGTATCTGTACATGCGAAGAAAGAAAACTGATAAGCTTTACGCTTAGTAAGTCACTATGGATCCACAAAAATGTTTGAGAAGTCTATGCAAATTTATCAATAGATAAATGTAGGCTATAAGCATGCACTAAACGAACAACTAACAAGTAGTTTCTCAAATAATTTCTGAGAGAGATCCCAAAGAAATATTTTCTAAAATAATTTCTCAAAACTGCTAGAGAAATCTCAAAATTTCTTTTCTCAAAACATCTCTGTAAAACTTTCTGAAAGAGATCTCAAAAATAACTTTCTGTAAAACTCTTTGTGGCTAATTTTAACTGTGGGCCCGTGATATGTCTTCAAAGGCGCCAATCCGACAGCTCAGGGGAGCGACCCACTAAACATATCGGACTCTCTGAAACTGCTAAACTGATAATCTGAGGGAACTTGTTCCCGAGTACATATCACTTGATCTTTCACTTTAAATATTAATTCTTTTTATGGTGACGTTTGAGTAAATCATCATCAAAATCTTGAAATAAAGTACTAACATAATATTGACTATGTCCGATAATAAACATAACTTAACACAACAAATAAAATAGCTCAGCAAATAGTTCACTAGGTTCACATAATAGCACATAGACTAAAATCATCTATTAAAAATTAACCAGACTTCTGTCTTTTATTTGGTAAAACAAACATGTACAGGTGGTAGTGAACTTACCTGTAAGGAGCTAAACTCGAAATATGCAAATAAACGTGGCACCTTGATAACGTCTTCCGGTAAGCTCTTCTCTTATATCTTTAATTAAATGTAATTATGAATTACAAATGTGCTAAGTAAGAAACATGGCCATATTACTGAAATTAATGTATTATTGGATGTACTAAAACCCAAGACTTGGATTTTCTTTTCTTCTATCTTGCTTCGACGGAAAACTAAAAGATAACATACATTTTAAAATTTTGGAAACCTTTATGCAGCAAGCTAGCAACCCCTTTTTAAATTTAAACTACAAATTAAATCAACTCCTAAGCATCTCGACATAAAACTCTTACCAATACTACAGATTACAGCCCCCCCAGAGTCTACGTTGCAGTTCTAGTGGAAGAAGAAACATAAATTGACAGATTATCCCCAAACAAAATTTATTAACCTTGCTATTGTTTTATTTTAAACTTTCAGAGGAATTGAGATGGTTACTCTAAGAATCGCACCTGGAATTTTCTCCTTTTAATGCCAAAGTGCAATGGGTTTAGAAGAGGTAAAATCATTTATAAAGATTAAATTTTTAAAGATCAATTTACTGAATTGAGGTTTCGAACATCTTTAACTGACCAAGTGAACTGAACAAATCTTGCAGCAATTGTTCGTTTTTTTTATCAACTTAAAACATAAGATTGTGAATTGCCAAAAAAAACAAGATTTAATGAAGGATCACTGGCCGAAACCTAGAGCTGAAACCCAGTGAAAACCCAAAGCATAACAAATACTCCAATTTGGCTAAACGGGACTAACGCACCAAATTCATCTAATAACTTTTGAAACTCAAGTGCCATAAGAGAAAGAGTTTGTTCCATAAATTCTAAAATGAATGAATTGAATCGGAGGTATGGAAGCATTCATTATAATCCAGTAAAAGAAATCAGCCAATTACATTTGCAGTTGCTATAAACAGAGGGTTCAACTAAACTTACCGGACGTGAGATTTGGTGCAAGGCTGAGATGAGTTGATGAGCGCTTAGTAGTACTCGGCTCTTATCTAAGGAAATGGCTTAACTTCTTTAGGGATTTAGTTTAAAAGAGGCTTATTTGGGCTAAGATTGATTTGGGCTCCTAATATTCTCTAAAAAACTCCAACATTAAAGTATTTTCTATTTCAAAATAAACTGATTAAGCTTTAAAACATTACTTATTTCTTCACTTAATATTATTAGAGCTTTACCGGTCAACGTTACCTGCCAGAACAACACGTGATCAAACAATAAATCACATTAGTCATAGAAGAAACTTATTTAATTGACTAAAATAAATATTAATATTGATTAAGATAACTAGCTCAAAAAATCGGGGTGTTACAACCCCTCCCACCTTATAAAAGTTTCGTCCTCGAAACTTAGAACAGCTCGGGATAACGACGTCTCATGTCATTCTCAACCTCCCAAGTAGCTTCTTCAACTTTCTGATTTCGCCACAATACTTTTACTTGAGCTATCTCTTTATTCCGGAGACGTCTAACCTCACGATCAAGAATTTGTACTGGCTTCTCCTCGTAAGACAAATCATTTTGTACTTCTATTGTGGGGGGTGTCAAAACATGCCTCGGGTCAGCAAAGTATTTTCT